ATATTTCTAACTTCTATACCTGATCGCGAGTCTTCAAGGTTCCCTTGTTTGATATTGTATAAACTTCATCACTTTATTCCCTTTTTACCTATCACGTCATCTGTCATCTTAGAATTCCGATGCTTCTTACGCGTAATAATCTGGGAATGTGGAGGGCGTGGCTGCGTACGCAAGTCAAAAATATGTAGAGTATAATGCGTCTTTCGTAGAATATTTCCCTTCGACACATGTCATGTCATGTGCTAGTCTACAATCCTTTCACAACGGAAAAATCTCACCAAAAGCATGACTGCATGCTAAATGACATACGCAGCCACGCGTTCCTCATCTCTAAGATAGGAGATGTATATCATCGCACTTGATCGGAAACCCCTTTCGACCCGTTATTGATAGAAGGACGAGTTTGGTGACAAACAGACTGTACAGTCACCTTCCTTGATCCTGATCCTTGCCATGTGTGAGGTGAATGAGCCCGCAGCTGTAGTACCATCCGGAGTCTCTCATTACTGCACAGGAGCGAAGCTTAAGGGGCTGATGGCGACTGTTTACTCCGCTTCGCGCTGCAGGCCACTCGTAACCGTAGACAAAGGCGCTACTTGTCTGCGCCCATTCATTCCTGACTGATCTCTACCTATCAGGATGTGTTTCGCTATGGGACCTTGGTATCTGCGACAGTGCTGCAATTTAGGAATAACGCGAGCAGAGTATGGAGCCGGCACTGAGCATCACTACTCTCCATACGAATTTCCGTAGTTCCTGCAAAGAAACCGGCACGCGACTGCTGCTGCGGATCCGAGCTACGGAACGTGGATACTCTTCGCACATGGAAACGACCGCCCTCAGAGGTGACTGTACCGTTTGTCTGCAATGGGCATTCCAATGGGTCATATGGCTCTGTGAGGCTACTGGAGACGTTTCTGAGCGTCAATAGATTTGGGAGTGAAGGTATGAGAAGGGCTCCTTGTACGAAGCCCAAATAGTGAAGATGAGAAGTTCTGCTCAGAGCTAAGGGAAAAGAAGCTCAGGGAGACACTCTTGTTAACGTCTACTCTCGCTTGAACTGGTCACACACTTCCACTCATATATTCCTTTCATCTAACTCTATGACTCATACATTCTTATTCGGTCCGTCCCTCACTCACTGATGAGCCTCGGGGATGGACCGAATAAAGTGGTTCGTCTGAGTTGAGGCGAAACGAACCACCTCCTCATTTAATACCTACTAACTTTAATAACTCCTCATTTTGTACTTAATTGATCTGCATGTAGTCCAGTTTGATATTTGCCTGAAAGTGCACATCGCTACTACGTGAG